TTACAAATTGAAAAGTTTAAAACTATGATAGTGTTAATGCAATTGTCACACGACTTATAGAAACTCGTATTTCACTTTTAAACTATGCATAATTTTCTACTTCAACTTACTTTTCTTTTTTTCTTTTCTATAGTGTTTATGCACTTTTAAACTATGCACAATTTTCTACTGCATCTCATTCATTTTTTTTTTTTAATTTTTTTTCATTTTTTACGATTTATTTTTTCCCTTTCATTTTTGTTCTCTTTTAACGACAACTACATTAATTTTTAAATATTATTTCAATCAAGTAAATTCACACTGGCAAATAAAATATTTCTACGAGTGTTTAATTGTTAATTTATATTTTCCATTGTTTATTGGTTTTGTTAAAACTTCGAATAAATTATTGAATAATATTTGTATAATTATTATTGTCGATTCAATGATTTTATCGAATATCATTTTACAATTATTAATACAATCGAAATAATAACAGACTACAAATTCTTCGTATTGTGATTTATAATTATTATTAACATATTAATCATTTATCAATAATAATTAAATGAATTTGTAAAGCAATAAAAAAAAAAATAAAAGGGGGATGCATCTTTTACTTGAATGTAAGTAATATTTCAGAAATTTCATATATAATATTTTAGAGAGTTTATGGTACTTTCAGATTAATAGCGTTTTGTCTAGCATTATCTCTAGGAGTCGGTTATAGAGACTATGGTTTATTCTATCGGTGGTTTCGTGGTTTTCACTGACAATGAAGTTGAGTATTTTCTCGTTGAAAGTTCACATTTTCTTCCTCGATATTTTGCATGCATATAAATACATATATATGTATATATATATATATATATATATGTGAGATACAAGGTTAGTGTGTTGTATATGTATGTATTGGAATAATTCTAACAACAAGTATGTTCAAAAATAAAAAACTTTGAAATAAAATAATATCGTCGAATTAAATTAAACAATTATTTTACAAACAATCGTAATAACTAATTACGAAGGATTAATTAAAATATAATTAAATAAAAAATATAAATAAAATTATTATATATAATAATAATTATAATATAATTAAATTAATATAATATATATAATAATATAATATAATAAAATTAATATAAATTATTATATTTAATAATATTAATTATATTATATATAATACTATTATTATATTAATATTATATTTATTTTTTTTTGCATATGTTACATTTTTTTAAATATATTTTTTATATATTTTTATATACATACATATAAATTTAAATTTATATATATTAATAATATTTATAATAAGATAATAATAATAATATTTATAATAATATAATAATTAATAATAATATAATAAAATTATATATAAATTAATATATATATAAATTAATAATAAATAATAAAATTATAATATATATATATAACAATAATAATAATAAAATTTAAATATATATAAATTAATAATATTTATAATAATATTATTATTAATAATTAAATAATTTGAAATTAAATTATAACAATTGTTATTTGATAACTTGGTAAAAATATTATTGAAATATTTTAATATAATTATTAATTGTGAGAAGTTTATTATATTCATTTTTATATTAATATTTTATACTTTAATAAATCAAATCCTCTACATATATGTTATATATATAAACGAAAGGATTATTACGTCTATTATTTAAACGCTGATCAGTGCAGGATTTTAAGCCTCTTTTAAGCTCCCTTTTATTCATAAATTTTAATTACCGTATTCCATTTTCAATGGACTCGATTTTCTCTATAATTATGTACTCTTTCATAGGAAATAATTATCAGTACCTTTTACATTAATTAACTCTCTGCCA